GGCTGAAGGAGCCACGCTCCCCTGCCACCCTGACGGTGCTGTCTACCCCAGCTTCTCCTCGGTCTCACCTAAAAGGTGTTCAGAGGGCGAGCCACAGCCTTGCTGGAGCTCCCCACACCGCACCCCCCGACCTCGCCTCTCTGGTGGCCCTGTGGCCTGTGCTCCATCTCCACTGAAATCACTTCTCAAAGGGCACCTCTTCATCGAAACCTCGGCTCTTCTCAGCCTCTGGCGTCCTTGTCCTTGTCAGCACTTGCTCCCGCTTGCTTCCTCTTTTTAAGGGCCGTCGTCTGCACTTTGATGATGCAGAACGTTCCCTGTTTTCCTGCCCTCGGCGCAGGAGCCTTCTGAGAGTCTGCTGAGTTTTGGTCTTGAGCTTTCCGTGCTTCTTTCCATGTGCACTCTTCTGAGGGGGGCTTGTTTCTCCTGGATTTGGCCTCCACTGGAAACCCTAAGTTTACAGCTCTGGGCTTGACCTTTCTCTGTGTCCAGGACTCTGCTTCCCAAGGCTGCGAGGCTGGCTGCCCGAGGGGTAGAGTCGAGTATCTGCGGGTCTAAAGCGGAATTAGGCCTTCCCAGGTCCTTCCCTCACTTCCCTGTTCATCTCCAAGTAACCTGCACTTAAAATCGCTCTAAAACCCCATTCTCTCAGTCCCCAAATCATGTTTCTCTCACAGTCCCTTTTGCATTAGCCCTTTCCTTCCCCTTCTTACTTCCTCCCATTTCCTAATCATTCCTGTCAGATGAATATTCCTAAACAGCGCTTTGATTGTAGGATACCTTTGATCAGAAACCTACTCTGTGGTGTTACTCCTTTGATCAGAAACCTAGAGGATATCCATTGCATGTCAACACAGCACACAGATTCCTACTTCTCTTTCAAGGCCCCGCAGGCTGGCAGCCTGACCTCCACCCTGCTTGGCCACCATGCCCCCTCGGCCCAGCCCCTGAGCCCAGCTCCCCCGTCACCTCTTCCGTGACCCCTCCCCACAGTAATCCAAAGCCATCTCTTCCTCTCTCACATTTCACGGCAAGATCTGCACATTTTCCCTGTGTTGTTCTCGGTGGACTTATCTCCCCTCCTCATTTGTAAGTTTCCTGAGGGCAGAGACCGGGTTGGACCAAGCTTTGTGGACGCCCCAGTGTATAGGTCAGGTATTTGTACATAATTTAAGCCACTTGTTAAGTGTCTGGAGGAGCAGAATGGGTGAAGAAGAGGAATAATGGCAAGCAGAGGTTGCTTTGTCTTGCGACACTAAGGCTGTTCCCTTTTACCTCATTGTCAGAGACTGACTTAGAAGTTTCAATACAATGAGTTAACTTGTCTTGAAAGCGGGAAGATTTTCATTATGAGGAGTAAAAGAATACAGTTTAATGAATTTTAAATAGATGCAAGAAACTTTTTTTTTTTTTTAAAGATTTTATTTATTTATTTGAAAGAGAGAGAATGAGAGAGAGCAAGCACATGAGAGGGGGGAGGGTCAGAGGGAGAAGCAGACTCCCTGCCGAGCAGGGAGCCCGATGTGGGACTCGATCCCGGGACTCCAGGATCACGACCTGAGCCGAAGGCAGTGGCTTAACCAGCTGAGCCACCCAGGCGCCCTAGATGCAAGAAACTTAAGTGGAGAGCAGTTAAATGCCTTTGTAAAAAGGACATGTGGTTATCTGTGTAGATCGGAGTCCCAAGTGTTACTGGGCTGGAGGCAGCACGTGCCATTTCTCTTTGAGACAAAGCAAACCCGGGGCAAAGGCCAGAGGCAGGCTTTTCAGCCAGCGCCTTTTTTGCAAGGCACTGTGAACTGCCACCTGATGACCCAGAAGGTGGGCTGAGAATACAGTGTTTTCACACTTGGTTTGAGTGTTTTGTCTGTAGTACCACTAGATGTCTCTGTCTCGTGTGCAGCACACTATGGTTAAGCTTTAAATCTTGTAGGGCTGCAAACACAGAGCTCCCCAAACTGCAGAGAGGCAGGTTTGGCTCAGCACAACCTTCTGAATGAGGTCGAACATTGTTTAAAATGAATTATTTCCCCAGTTCTTTAAGCCACTCTTTGACTTTGAGATTCTAGTGAAGGAAAGAGTAAAAATGCAAATTACTGCAGAAGTTTGTACGAAGGGCTTGTGGCGGTGCTGAAACCATATTTTTCCTGTACAAGTGTTGTCTCAAGCAGACACCTACAAATCAAAGCATGCAGGTGTGATTTTCTCGTGGAGAGCTATGTCCTTCCGGTAGGACTTGGAAATGACCAAAGTCCGGCCCATAGTGAGCAGAGAGGTCTAGCTGCCTGGGAGGGAAAGCAGTCAAGGATGGAAATTGCTGGAATGTGACCTAAGGAACTTTTTTAAATAACTTTTTTTTTAAGTGTTTCTATGTGTATATGGGTGCATGTGTTCTTCCGCTTTAAGAAAAAAAAAAATTAAAATCAAGAAATCAAGATAATTGGTTTCTGGGAACCTCCCAGGGCCCTAGGCGCTGGCCTTAAATCCGAGAGACTTGCTGCCTCCCTTTCCCTGGTGGTTTCTCACCAGCCCCGTGGGTCCCTTCGGAATCCTTCTCCCTCCAGCCTGGTGGGGTCTCCCAGCCCCATTTATTCTTTGCCTTCGGAGACTGCACACAGTTCTTTAAAACCTGAGCTCTTGTCTGCTCAGTCACCACCCATCACTGGCAGGGGACAGAGGACAACCTGTACAATAACAAATGAGGGAAAATCATAAAACTTACGACAAAATTTTGATGGGAAGGGGCCCTGCTTGGTACTTACTGCTCACAGATGCTTAAAAAACACAGCCCTCCTTGGGATTTTCGGCCCTTCTCTTCTCTTTCTGGGAGGCAGAGGGGGCCTCACTGTCCCTTCTGCCTAGAGGAACATTCCCTCCCAGCAGAACAAAGGTGCCCTGTGATCTCCTGGGAGTACTTCATATCTCTGAAGGCCTATGGTTTCCCAGTTCTCTGTTTTGGAGGTGATTGTTTACATGATTAAAGTATTCTTCACCACACATGATCCCTGAATAATGAACTTCCCTAGGGTTTTGAATATTGAACTTCCCTAGAGCCCCTTAAATGCATTCTGGTGTACACAGAGTATTATTGGCACTCACCCTGTGCTTGAAGGGAAGACCACCTGTAACTGCATTCCTATTTAAAGGAATATAAAGAGAGGACTGTAAAAAGATTCCAAAGGAAGATGAGTGATCTGTCTTTTTAAAAAATAGAGTCACAGAAGCTCTGTTCTTTCTGCCATCAAAGTACTGCTAGTTTTTATGCATAATCTTTATTCTTTGACTTCCATACTTCGTAGGCAGACATTTTTCACATGATTATTTGTATGCAGTCATCTTGAAATATACACACATTGATGGCAAGACAGGAATTAGTCAGATCTGTTCTGTCACAAATGCTATTAAAGTCACTCTTTTAAAAAATAGAATAAAATGTTAAATTTGGAAGAGCAAGGGATACTGTTAACTTTTTTAGCATATCGGAAAATATTTATCGATAAGATAAACAGCAAAAGGAGACAAAAAGAGTTGTAATAGTAAGAAGTGGTATAATCAAAAATGATTATAAATTCTAAGAACCTAATTAAATAACTGATCCATTTTAAAAAATGATTATACATTCTAAAGGCATTCAAGGAAGCTGTCTTTGAAACTGCGTTGTCTGTAGAATATATTCACTCAGTGGACGATAGCACATAACTCATACTATATAGATACAATCATTGCTTTCTAATGATGCATTAGAATTTCTGTCATTAGTTGATGGTTTAGGAAGAATTCTTTGGGACTTCTTGATTAAAGCTGCTTGATCAGAATGATGTTTCTGGAATGAGGCAGACACTAGCGTCTAAAAGTTAGAAAATCAGCTGCTTTAGGTGCCTCAGATAAATCACTTGACTTTTGGGGATCTCAGTTTCCAGATCTGTCAAATGGGAACAATCCAGATCTGCCTTAACTACTACACAGGATCATTTTCATGCTCTAAACAATTTTGGTGTCATGGGTTTGGAATGAGAGCGAGAATTTAAATCCCTCTTACGAATTCTGATACTGAGCAAGGCATGAATCTGTTGGAGCCTCAATCCCTCATCTGTAAAATGAGAATTAATGGCAATTTAATGAGATCATGGCTGTAAAGGCCCGCTGTAGTTCTGTTGATGGTGGTGGTATTTACATTTGGTAAGGAAGGGAGTTGTCCTGGAACCGCTTTTTAATGCAGTCTAGCAATACTGGGAAGGTGATCTGACTGCATCAGAGCTAGAATGTTCCTCCATACCTTCCTGCAGGAGATAGATCAGAGAGTTCAGGGCACCAACAGAATTAGGTTTTATTTTTCTCTCACTTTTGTCTTGTGGCTCTTAGCGCTTGTTCATACTAGTCCAGCCGCTCCCCCCCACCCCCCCACCCCTCCTACCCCCGTGTCATTTTACAAATGAAGAAGCTTTCTCATCAGGTAGATTGTTTGATTTGCCTTAAAAGATCTCCTGCTGAGCTCCGGATGGCATTGGGTCAATAGAAAATCATAGACTTTTAGCCAAAGATCTGCCAGGTCAACGGTTCTTAACCATGACTGGGTCACAGGCCGCTTTCAGACTGATAAGCAATAGATTCTCTGCACAGAACACAGAATTTTTTTTATAGAACTCTTGCAGTTCTATCTAAAAATACAAGATGATAGAATTTCACGTAGACTGTGAGGAGAAAAACTGCCTCAAGAGTCTAGGAGTTAAGATGTCATACTTGCTTAACATGAACCTTTTCCTTCTCGGTCCTTGAAAATATATTTATTGTATCTCTCTGTTCTTAATACAGTTAAATTACATAGGTTCCAGTTATCTCCCCTGAGTATTCCATTTCACGAAACACTAACAGTAAGAAACAGGAAATGCTCTTGTTTCATTTGCCTTTAAAAAGTGGCCCACTTTTTTCTTCAGCGGTCATGTTCTCATCGGAGACGTGGGTTGACGTTTACTTACAGATTGTTCACTTGTTTCTTCCAGTGAGTGTGTCCGTTTGAAACCAACTGACATACAGCCAGATATTTTCAGCTATCTCTTGCATTTGATGTACACTGGCAAGATGGCACCTCAGCTGATTGATCCTGTTCGATTAGAGCAGGGGATCAAGTTTCTGCACGCCTACCCACTGATCCAGGAAGCCAGCCTGGCCAGCCAAGGAGCCTTTTCTCATCCCGACCAAGTCTTCCCCCTGGCCTCTTCCCTGTATGGCATTCAGATTGCAGATCACCAGTTGAGACAAGCCACCAAGCTTGCCTCCGCCCCCGAGAAGCTCGGGCGGGAACCCCGGCCGCAGCCGCCCAGGATGAGCCAGGAGCAGGTGCCTGAGGCCTCCCAGCTCTCGCAGCTGACTTCAAACCTGGCCCAGGTGACTCGGACGCACCTGACTCCCTCGGACCCCCTGCAGACCTCACTGTCTCCAGAACTCGTTTCCACTCCTGTGCCCCCCCCTCCCCCCGGCGAGGAGACCAATCTGGAAGCGTCTTCCTCGGACGAGCAGCCGGCACCCCTCACCATAGCCCACGTCAAGCCGAGCATCATGAAGAGGAACGGGAGCTTCCCGAAGTACTACGCCTGCCACCTGTGCGGCCGGCGCTTCACGCTGCGGAGCAGTTTGCGGGAACACCTCCAGATCCACACGGGGGTCCCGTTCACGGCCGGCCAGCCGGGAGAAAGCCGGGCGCCCCTGTCTCTTTGCAGCAACGCGGCCGACCTGGGGAAGGACGCCATGGAGGTGCCCGAGGCCGGGATGGTCAGTGACAGCGAGCTGCCGCACATCTCCGACTCCCCCATCATCGACGGGCAGCAGCACTCGGAAACGCCGCCGCCCTCCGACATCGCGGACATCGACAACCTGGAGCAGGCCGACCAGGAGCGCGAGGTCAAGCGGCGCAAGTACGAGTGCACCATCTGCGGCCGCAAGTTCATCCAGAAGAGCCACTGGCGGGAGCACATGTACATACACACCGGCAAGCCCTTCAAATGCAGCACGTGTGACAAGAGCTTTTGCAGGGCCAACCAGGCCGCCCGGCACGTGTGCCTCAATCAGAGCATCGACACCTACACCATGGTGGACAAACAGACTCTGGAGCTCTGCACGTTTGAGGAGGGCAGTCAGATGGACAACATGTTGGTCCAGACCAACAAACCCTACAAATGCAACTTGTGTGACAAAACATTCTCGACTCCCAATGAGGTGGTTAAACATTCGTGCCAAAACCAGAACTCGGACGTTTTTGCCCTGGACGAGGGGCGGTCCATTCTCCTGGGCAGCGGGGACTCCGAAGTCACGGAACCTGACCACCCGGTGTTAGCTTCCATCAAAAAGGAGCAGGAAACAGTGTTGTTAGACTGAATGTGACTTTCCTTTTTAAAAACTGTCATTTTTACAGAGACTGTCTCCTCTCTCTCTCTCCGCCCTCCCCCCCCCCCCCCAATTCAGAACTGTAGTTCTCCATGGCATGATACAAACAGGTCCCTGGCCCCTCTGTCCTCCCCGCCCCCTCCCTGTCCCCAGCCCTTCCTCCGCAAAGGCTTTGTGCATTATAAACCTGGAACATATTTACTTCGAGTCAGGGGACATTGGAAAGATAATGGTCAGTAGTACTTATAAACTCAAATAGATTTTGAGACGTTTTAGATTATTTAAAAGCCTACTTGGAACTAATGAAGGGTATATAACAAAACAAAACAAAACAACCAGAATGCGATTTGGTAAGCTAAAATTATGACTTTCCCTGGGTAATAAGTCTTCCTTCTCAGAAAATACAGCATGCTTCTTAGAGATACCGCTGGGCTCTGTACTATGCAAAATCTAGAAGGTGTGGGGAAACTTGAAACCCAAGCAAATGTTCTTAGTATTTATCCTCCAGGTCTTATTTCAGAATGCATCCTTTGAGATTATGTCCAGTCAAGAAAAATCATTCGTTAAGAAATCTACTTGAACAAAACACAAAAGAGAAAAAGTAATAATGTGATGGCAATCTTAATTTTTGGATAAAACATGACAAAGCTGTGAGTTTGTGTGTTTGTAAGAGAAAATGTGTGGATATTTGCGATTAACAGGTGTATTAACGCACATGCCTTATCAAATTGCTGGCTTCTTTCAAAGTTGAACGAGAACAAAATTCTCTGTTTTAGTTTCTGATAAATCTGTTGGTTGTTTTCAAAATCAGATTTGAAAGTACTATTCTGTAGATTGTCTTTCTGAATAGAAAACGACATGCCATTCCAGCAGCTGCCAGTGTTAAATTTGTTTTAGCACCGACTGGCTGCTTTAAATCAGTGTACGTATGCAGGAAAGTGCATCTCAGAGGGGAGGTTGTGAGCAGAGCATGTAGTAACTTTCATGACTTTAAGCGTTAATGCTGATAGTTTACTGGCAACATTCATTGAAGCATCAAAAATGGCAGAGAAAAATCAGGACAAAAAAATCTAATTGCTGTTTGGGGAAAAAACTTGATTTTGATGTTTCATCTCCACCTTTTTTTTTTTTCTTTAAACACCTGAAATTTTCCTCCATTGGCCTGAAAGCAGTAAAACGTGTCCATTAATGTTTCCTTGGGCCAGTAACAGAATAGTCTGACAGGACAAAACAGGAGCCAGAAATAAGGACTGAAGGGAAAAGGGAAGAACAGTTCTTAGCTGTGCTGTACGTATATGTTTAAAACTGAATATCCCGTCATCCTGTTTCATGTATAGTTGAGTTCTCAGATTTGTAAGTTTTTATACATACTTTCATTGAATAAACATTTAATTAAATGGGTATTTTATTGTGTCTGCGTATTACTCTGTCTACCCAAAAAGATGCCAGGAGGGGGACGTGGCCTGAGGAGGCATCTCCTTGCTGTACCCCTCCTTCTGTCTGCAGAACTTGGGGTGGGCGGGTCCCCTCACTTGAGTGGCATTTTCCACATCTGTACAATGAAGACCGTGGTACCGCTGGATGGTCAGATTGGGGGAATCAAATGAGGAATCTGTAGGAAGGTGCTATGGACAGTCCAAGAGATGGCAAGGAAGAGATCGGGAGGTCATCCTACCCAACTTTGTTTTACGAGGAAGAAAAGGTGTTTACCTAAAAATGACACAAAGTCGTGCTACATAAACCTAGACTCTTGAGTAGTGAGAGGTTTCCACCGATTTCATCTTTTTTGTAAAACTATATTCACTGAATCTCCCAATTTAAATGAGAGTCTTGTGCCAAATTAACTTCTCTGAGTATCTGGGGAAGGGAAGTCCAGGCATGTCCCCGCTGCCCTCCACAGCACTCCCGGCAGCTATGAAGGGACCTGGGTCACGGCCAGAGGCTCTTAAAGAGCAGAAAGTCATGGGAATCACGAGGGATCTGGTGGGTGAGGAGAGAGGGCGAGGCTAAGATGCCAGCCGCAATTTGGTGGAGGGGGGAGGGCGGGAACTGTGTGGTCAGCTACTCATTATGGGTGGTCCAGGGGCTCTTACCGTTAGCTTGTGGTTACCTCCTCTTGTGACAGACCTGCCAGTCCTCCATACCCTAGGATGCTCGCTGGCTGTTTAATCACAAGAGGCTATAAATTTAACCATTCCTTCTTAATTTTTGATGGTCCCAATTTAAACAAGCTTTGGAAATTTCAGTTGATGGTGGGATCAGTCTGAACACCTAAGCTTCAGCATTAATTGGCGTTGTCATTCTCCATGTTTTAGCCCTTATTAACACCACTGCTCCTACCACTTTTCCATTCATAGGGAAAACAATGGAAAGTGACTCATTCGTTCAACAGATACAGCTAAAAAAGTTTGTAAAATACTGTAGGATTTTACTTTACCACGGGAAATACAGCTGTAATGGGAAGAAAGCCTTGCCATCAAAAGGTATTTGTTAATTATTCCCCAATAAAACTGGAAAATATATACATGTATATATAAAGTTGCTTTGGATAGTGATATAAGAATGGAGAGTAGAGTGGACCCCAAACATCCTCCTTTTTAAAGTCACAGGGGGGCACCTGGCCGGCTCAGTCAGTGGAGCATGTGACTGCTGATCTCGGGGTGGTAAGTTCGAGCCCCATGTTGGGTGTAGAGATTACTTAAAAATAAAATCTTAAAAAAAAAAGTCACAGAAACCAGCCACTATTGTTATTTGTAATTTCCCTCCCAAGAAAGGGAAAGAGCTGAGGCATGCAGAATGAGCCCTTCAGTTCAAAATGTCAGGCCTTGGTCACGCATTTCAGGTAAAACACTGAATTGCTATGTTTAAAAAGATCGAGGCACTTAGGAGGATGGTCGGGGAGGATGGTGTGGGGGGGGCAGTGTGGGAGGAGCACTTTCTATGACTTGACTGGGAATTATGGTGGGGGACGGGGAGCCCTCTTCACTCATTCACTAGTAAGGAATGTCGAGACAAACTTACTTGTATGGAGAGTAGTTTATTGGAATGGAATGGAACTTGTTCTTGAGGTTGACTGCATTTTTTAGGACAATTTTCAAAGTCCTCAAAATACTTAAATTGCATTTTGCTTTGCTTTAGTTCTCCATTTTAGTCTGGAACAAATTATTGCTATCCATCATTGGCAAGTAAGCAAGATTTAGGCTTAGAAATCTTTGGGTAAATAAAAAACTAATTATCTTAAGATATAGGTCAACTAATCTGCCTCTTCTAGAGCTAGCTCCTTAAACACATCTGGAAGAACATCAACTAAACCGTTAACAGCTCTCTAAATAAAAAAGTAGACTCAGAATCTTTAATGTGAAAAAAAACGGACCAGGATGAAATGATATTCTGTGGTTTCATTCTCCTTAAACCAAAATAATTCTGAACATAAAACATGGTTATTCTTGACCCAAGTTTGTGCTATTCTCTGGGAAATACATAATCACCTGCCCTGCCTAATTTCCTGGCCCTTATGAACATCGCTCCTTGTGAGGAAGCCATTGTCAACGGAAGGGCTGAGTGGGGGAACGGGAGATCCTCAACTGGGTGTTTGTGTGCTAGGTGCTTTCATTTACTCCCAATCATCCTGGCAGGCATGTGTCCGTTTTTATAAATGAGGAAATTGAGGCCCAGAGAAATTAAATAACCTCTCTGAGGTTATCCAGCCAAATAGAGACAGCCAGGATTTAAAACCCCATGTGGCTCCCTCAAAAAGCAATGCTCTTTCTACTCCCCCAGGGATGTTCTACACCCAACAGCACCTTTGACCAGCCCTTGGCAATCGACAAGTCCTGTATTGTTGTAATTGACAAGCCTTTGATTCAGCAAAAGCAAGAAGTACAAGGCATGGATGGCTTTCCTTGCTCATCTGACCTACTTTTTTGTATTTGGTTAGGTTTGTCCAAATTATATTAAGAGGGGGGGAAAAAAAGATATTTTCCCAAATGTGCAAACATTTCTAAGGGCTAGAAGCAATCGCTGGGGAGAGGTGCCAGGCACAGGGAAGGGAGAGTTTTTTCACCTGTTAACCTATTTGTTCTGCTATTGAGGCAATTAACTTAAATCCGTTCTAAAACCTTATATTACAGCAGTGGTCCTACAACAAGCACATCAGAATCTCCTGGAGGGCTTGATAAAACAGACTGTCAGGGGGGTGCCTGGGTGGCTCAGTTGGTTGGGCGACTGCCTTCGGCTCAGGTCATGATCCTGGAGTCCCGGGATCGAGTCCCGCATCGGGCTCCCTGCTCGGCGGGGAGTCTGCTTCTCCCTCTGACCCTCCTCCCTCTCGTGCTCTCTGTCTCTCATTCTCTCTCTCTCAAATAAATAAATAATAAAAAAAAAAAAAACAGACTGTCAGCCCGGCAGAGCATGTGATTCAGTCCGTCTAGGGTCAGGCCCAAGAATTTGCATGTCTAATAGGTTCCCAGATGAGATGACGATGATGATGATGATACGGGGAGCCACATTTTTTTTTTTAAAGATTTTATTTATTTATTCATGACAGACAGAGAGAGAGAAAGGGAGGCAGAGGGAGAAGCAGACTCCCTGCTGAGCAGGGAGCCCGATGTGGGACTCCATCCCAGGACCCTGAGATCATGACCTGAGCCGAAGGCAGATGCTTAACCATCTGAGCCACCCAGGCGCCCCGAGCCACATTTTTTTTAAAAAGATTTTTATTTGAGAGAGAGCACGAGCAGGGGGAGAGAAAGAAGTAGACTCCCCACTGAGCAGGGAGTCCGACGCTGGGCTCTATCCCACGACCCCGGCATCGTGACCTGAGCCAAAGGCAGATGCTTAACCAACTGAGCCACCCAGATGCCCCCAGGAGCCACATTTTGAGAACCACAGCATTACTTTATCATTTCTGCTATATTACTGTCCTTTCCTGGTTCTACTTGCTTCTCAGAATTGCAATAACCAGGGGAGCTAATAAGGGGCCAGACAGGGACCTGTGACATTTCTAGCATTCTGCTTTCTTCGAAGCAAAGTGCTCCTTAATGAGATATGTGCTCTGTAGACATTGGTACAGGAGCCCTTAGAAGAAACGGGCTTTATTCTAAACCTCCCTCTTCTCATTCTAAATGCCCCTGTAACCTGTGAGCACAGAAAAGAATGAAGCTGAAGTAATCAAATACCCTAAGTAGTTTTCAGGGAAGCCACCTAGTTTCCTCCTCGGTGAAAGTAGCAGGGATCCGTCTGAGGACACAAAATGGCATTAGGTGGTTGACTAAGGCCACACAACCCCTCAGAGGTAAGTACACAGCCCCCATTTCCTACGCCAGGGCCCTTCTGCTACCATCACACTACCTGGGAAACCCTTCCTAGCTGTGAGGCGTTTCAATGTATTTCTGTAATTTTTTTTGTCAGCCAAAGAAAAGGAACTCAAGAATCTCATCTTTGCAGTTAGGTAGTGACGCCCATAAGTAGACAAATGTGGGAGAGAACCGGGAGGCTGCATGATACAGCGTCCAGAGGAACCTGGGACTGACCCAGGACACTGCAGGCTTGCTCCCTCCCACAGGCCCACCACCCCAGGTAGCGTGTCTCTCCTGTCAGGTCTCCCCGGGGAGAGGTGCAGCAGGCCACAGAAGCTGAACAGGCAACAGGGAGGAAAGAAAAGAAATGCAGATGACACAGAGTGGATGTTTCATGTCTAAAAAAGAGCACGTCTGAATAAGGTGTATCTTCATAACGTTTTAGGAATATCAGTGTCATTATTCTGAATCTACCAAAACCTTCAAGGAGAGGTGGTCACCAGCAGTCATGACGTTGGCTCGGGTGACAGTTTTATTTAAATTTCTCTTTCTCTTCTAATTACTAATGTGAATGCACCGTGGTGCATTTTGCTTTCTAGTTCCTAAAGCACGTTCCCAACAGGAAAATCTTGTGAAGCACGTAGTGGTAAGTTCTGAAATGACACTGCTGAAGTGTAAGGAGCTAAAGCCTCCTCTCTCTCAGTCACCCGACCGAAGTTTGTGTGTGAGATTTTAAGACATATTGCCAGGATCCCTGTAGGTTATTTCCCCTCTCTGGGTCTCCCAGGACATAGAACAGAAGAGCCATTGCTGTTCCGTTGGTCTCAACTCTTTTGAGACCCACATATCCAGCTGCTGATCCTGCATTTGCCCTTGGAGAGCTCATGGGCCTCTCTAATTGAACATTTCCCAAACTGATGATTATCCCCTGGCCCCACCCATGACAGGGCTCGGCTCCATATGCAGGCTGGTAACCCAGAAACTTCCTTCTTCACCCCACATAGTTCCCATGGCAGATAATGAGGTGCCATGCCCTGTTGATTCTACCCTCCCAAATCTCTAGATCTCATGCACAGCTCGCCAGCCAAACGGCCACTACTTTAAGG